TATTTTCCTTAATTCGCTGAAAATGAAAATGTCAATTATTCTTGGGGTGGCGCATATGATATTTGGCGTCTGCCTGTCGGTGGTCAACTTTATGCACTTCAAGAAATACGCGCTGATCTTTTTGGAATTTTTGCCCCAAATACTATTCTTGATTTTGCTCTTCGGTTACATGTGTTTCATGATGTTTTACAAGTGGGTGAAATATGGACCAAAGACCGATTATTTGCCCGATTCGCCCGGTTGCGCGCCGTCGGTGCTAATATATTTCATTAATATGATGCTATTCAGTGCATCGGCACAGCTAGAGGGCTGCGATGAGTACATGTTTGACGCACAGCCGCTTCTTGAAAAGGTCTTTGTTGTGTTGGCTGTTCTCTGCATTCCGTGGATTCTGCTGGGCAAACCGCTCTACATAACGGTTGTGAGGAGACTTCAAGTAAGTTTACGAGTTACATACACATACATACATATAACCGTACATGTGCATATGTCTGTTTTGTGTTTTTTTTTTACAGGCAAAACGGCAGCATAACTCACCTTTGGGCAAATTAGAAGCGGAAGACGGTGGCCATCATGGCGCAGTTGGTACAGATGATGAAGAGGACGAGCCAATGAGCGAAATTTGGATACACCAAGCTATACATATGATTGAATATATCCTGAGTACCATATCGCACACCGCTTCATATTTGCGTTTGTGGGCTTTATCGTTGGCGCATGCGGGTGCGTATATGTACATATGTATGTAGCTGCTAAAAATCGTTTTCAAATGTGTTTTAGAACTTTCCGAAGTACTGTGGAATATGGTGCTCTCCGAGGGTCTTAAATTAGGCGGCTACCCATCGGCGATCGCCTTGTACTTCATATTTGGAGCTTGGGTTTTGCTGACGATAGCTATCATGATTTTGATGGAGGGCTTGTCGGCCTTTTTGCATACTTTGCGCTTGCATTGGTAAGATTTGATGAAATTAATTTGCTTTTAAACTTTGTGAAATACCAAATCGAATATGTATTATTTCAGGGTTGAATTTATGAGTAAATTCTATTCTGGTGCAGGGTATGCCTTTATGCCGTTCAGTTTCAAAATTTTATTGCGAAGTGACGACGACGACTGAACACATTTTCAACTGTCTAGTTAAACGCTGTAGTTTGGCAATAAATACCGTTTTGATGGTCAAATCACTAATTAGATAAACACATTTTAATAAACAATTATTGATATGTTGCTGCATTACATTAAATATTTATGTTGATGATTTCCTCTCCGTTTGCAGATTTTCCGCAGCACTACATTTTTTGCGTTATAAAATTAATTAATTTTTTGGGCAAAGAAACACGTTTTTCTTTTCTTATGAAGAACTAAAAACTAACAAGTAACGAAGTTAAGTTATGCCCATACAATTTGTATGAAGCATCTCACAAAAACGCCATTCAAACAATTTGGAAAAATCAATTTCTTTCTAAGAAGTTAATGTAAACATCGATTTTGAATGAGTTGGCTTCAGGACGAGGACGATTTTTTTATGTAATTATTTTAGTTTTATTTTTTTGAAAATCACCGTTTTTATATGAGTTTGCCTATTTTCAATGCCATCCGTCTTAGCCTCAGACAAACCGATGGCCCCGAGCTACTTTATGTCACCTATTCGATAGTCGGCAATCTATTCTGTATTAGACGCCGTTCGAAAGACTATCTTAATTTGATGAACTATGATTTATTTTGGTTGGAATTTCCGCCATTCCTTGATTTGTCATATATAATACATAATAAATAGGGGCGGTTCTGATCGAGGATAGTTTGCCGGACAGCGCTGGCTTACGAGTAGTACATAGTTAAAATAATTCATTAAGTTGCACGGTGTTCAAAATAGAATATATTGAGATAGGCTCATCCATTAATCTTTTGATTCTATTACAAAGTTACAAGTTCAAATCATTTGTTTTTATATTTAGATATTTTCTTGAATTCTGTAAATTGTTAAAAGTGAAATCGCGGCATAGCTATGTAGTCTGGACTCTTTTCAAACTCACCTGAGTAAACCCAACGTGTACCCTTAGAAGTCTTAACAAACTGATTTCCAAATATTAACTGACAAGGCTGAAAGATTTTACAGCTGTATCTCTACAAATGAGCCGCCTGAATATTTTGTATAAATAATTTTTGAAATCGATCAATCAATGAGATTAGCCATGCGTTTGCCCTGAAAGAAAGGTTGGTCCGTACTTTATATACATGTATATATGTATGTATGTATGCATGTACATTAGGGTGATCCAAATAACTAACCTAATGAATTTATGGCCTTAAAAGGACCTATTTACTGAGAAGAAAATTCTCCCATTTGGAAAAATTTGTATTCCGATTTTAAAAGGTGTCGGTGGGCAGTTGAAATTTTCCATGTAAATAATATGAAAATCTTTTTTCTTTAAAAATGCCATCAATATTATTTTTGTGGAAGGTGTTGCTAACTTTCTATAAATTTTCAAACAAAAAAACTGCCTTACTTCCTTTTTAGTCCATTTATACAAACGTTGTGGATTAAAGAGTTCTTTTAATTTGATTTTTTTTAGAGTTGCCTGTATAAAATTTTGCAATACTACGTTACAACGTTTATGCGATTGTTCATTTCACTAAATAATTTCATGAAATGTAGCCAAAAGCTATGCCTATATAAGGCGTCGTAATATAATGGCGGATATTGAACATAGCGCTATTCACAACTTGCACATACAAACGCCAAAGACAAAATCATTAGTAGAAAAATTGCATACAATGCACCCTATTCCCACAAAGATGACAATGCAATGCAAAGTTTGTACTGAAATCAGGATAAACAAGAAAGCTAGGTGATATAACTGCACGTCTATACCTGCTATGGGCGCTCGCATACCGTTCATCGCAGAAGGTATACGGTTTAAAGTAAGATATACATATCTCATACCATTTATCGCATGATTGATTCGTACTGATCGCACTGCGATAAGATTTGGTATGCGAGAAAACTGACAGTTGTATGTGAGCGCACATAGCAGGTATAAACTTGCAGTAAACGTGGTAACTAAAAAGCATGTAAATCTGATATTATTGAATAAAAAATATTGAAAGATTTATTGATTTTGCGTATTAAAGAGCATATTTGGTTTATCTATCGAGATTTTTAAAGCGCTTAAGATCAATTTGCTATGAATATTTTTGCCAGCACGGCTAATGATACTACCTAAGATCCTAAGTTGTCTTAATTATTTTACTAATTACTACGTATTAGAGAAAATGATTGTTTTTGATTTTAGTTACATTTATATTCATTCGATTTTAGTTACATTACTCCCAGTCATTTGAATAGCACACCCTTTTGATCCTCAGTATGTACAGTTTTCCTTTTGCATGTTTAATATTCATTAATTTTTTTTTATAAAATTTTCGACGTGTAAATAATGCAAATTTTAAAACATGTCAACAGAGGGGGTGCTATCCTAATTACATGCAGTGCATAAGATAATAATATGTTTAGAAAAATTTCGGATATGCAAGTTTTAAGTGGCTAAAAATTAAAGTTGATTTTTTTTTTTTATTTTAATTTTTCTTGTTGACGGTGTCATGCATTTTCTTCCATACAAAGTGTGCTCAATAAAATCTTTATTTGGAAGAAAATGCGCAGTTTCGGGCTAGCGACATTCGCTATGACGTTACAATTTTAGTTAGGAGGTTTCACTGAAAATACTACATCGTGCGCAAATGCGCTCTCACACAAAAAAAACTTGATAGTAATCTCAGTAAACATAAATGTTCGTTTTTTCAAAGATATGGACCGATACCAATTTTAAAGGACTTTTCGGTGATTGCCGGGACATTGACCACATTCCAATTGTGCCGAATTGTGGCTCTTGGGGCATATTCAAAGGTTCCGTTGGGTCCAATAGTGAGGCCGGCACCCAAACTCTTGAATTTTTTAAGATATTTTATGGAACGTTACTTTTTAGGGAGACTTTTTATGAACTTCTTGTACTAGGACGTGTCATGGTATTACTGTTGGTAGATGGGTTTGGACTTACTGTGCCTTCGTTCCAGTTTTTTCTCCCATAGAAGAGCTTGCCCATAACTCTAGTTGAGGCGAGGATCGCAGCTTCTTTCGGCAGATAGAGATCCGAGTAGGCTAATTAGCTCTACAGAGCTCCGGTATCCGAAGCACCCTATCCGCGGCTGGTCTAAATGAAGGGCCTCATCCTGTATGACCTATAGAAAGGGTCCTATAAAATATTGATCCAGTCCTGAAAGTTTAATCAGAAGTTTTCGGTGAGATGAATATGCAAGGTAACTAGAAAAAAAGAAAATTATTACAAAATGTTTGCCTTTGACAATTTAAAACGTAGGTTTGTCACGACTAAGCTTGGATAGCTCTCTGCCACAGGCGGGCATCAAGATGGTTTGTAATTCGTTATCGACTTTCATGTAGGCAGAATTTTAAACTTCAAGTCTACACAAGTCATCATGGTTCTACAGTGGTAAATCTTTATAAAAAAATCATACATATGATACATACATATACATATGACAACTTAATTAATTAATAAATAAGTGTAGCACCTTTCCCAATTTTTTTTTTTGTTTGAGTAGTTACGATAAAACCGAAGCTAAGCAGAGTGAAGAAAATGGTAAACGATTCAAAATAAGAGTACATACAATGTACATAAATAGAGTAAATTGATTATTCTCTCGGCGATTAACGAATTAATGCCAACTGATTGATTGGAAACCTATGGCTCAAATTGTTCGTCATAATCATACAAAATTTGATTTCACCAAAATACATGAAATAATGAAGACATTTTAGTTCCAGTTTGGCATTGAGTGAATATAGTAGGCGGTTACAAGTCGAACGGCGGAGCAGTACAGTAAGTTGAGAATTTCTTAGTTAACAACATTTTGTTACCAAAGGATATAACTTGGTAAAATAAATTTGATTGTTTCGTCATCAGGCAGGCAGACACACCATTCCAAAATGGGCAGCATGTTTCGCAGCGAAAAGATGTCGCTGTGCCAAATCTTTCTGGCACCGGAAGCGGCCTACAATAACATGGCAGATTTGGGCGAACTGGGTTGTGTGCAATTTCGTGATGTAGGTTGTGAAAATTTACTTTTACATTTTTACGCTAAGGTCCCGTGCACACAGACAGCTTACGGCTGAAACAAGCACTGCTTCTTAATTAATTATACGCTTGCTGAACACCGAACACTAAGAAAAGAGTTTAGTAACGTCAACTAAATATGTCTCTCTCAACGCATTAACTATTTGGTTATAGCTACCAAATCATTTGTTGAGTGAAACATATTTTTTTTTGTGTGTGCATGTTGGGCTTATGGTTTCTTAGCCCTGCCTCAAGCTCAATTAAAAATAGATCCGGGAAATGTGCTGTTTGAACGAGGCCGACCTAAATTACGCGTTAGTTAGGTGTTCATCTTTCAGTTCAGCTACAAGTTCATCCTGAGCCAGATGACTTACTCTTCTTTTGTATAAATGTCTTTTTCTCTCTGCAGCTAAATAATGAAGTCACAGCTTTTCAGCGTAGATTTGTTAGTGAAGTCCGCCGGTGCGATGAGATGGAACGTCAAATGCGTTATATAACTAGGGAGCTAGAGAAGGATGGAATAAAGCTGCAGGATGTTTACGATGATATACCGAGCGCACCGAATCCACGTGATTCGGCCGACTTGGAGGCGCAGCTGGAGAAGGCCGAGTACGAAATTCGCGAAATGTCGGAAAATGATATCAATTTGAAATCGAATTTGCTAGAGCTCACCGAACTCTGCAAGGTGATTGAAAAGACTCAAGACTTCTTTACTGAACAAACGGTACTTAATATGGAGGAACATGCGAACAGCGGCACTTTCACTGGTGAACGACGTGGTTGCTTGGGCTTCATTGCCGGTGTAATAAATCGCCAACGTCTCTTCGCATTCGAACGCATGTTGTGGCGTATTTCTCGCGGCAACATTTTGGTGAAACATGCTGATATCGAAGAGCCCTTGCACGACCCACGCACGGGCAATAGGACTTTTAAGACGGCTTTTGTAGTATTTTATCAGGGCGAACAATTGAATGCTCGCATTAAGAAGGTGTGTACCGGCTTCCATGCCTCCCTCTATCCCTGCCCAAATGTTCACGATGAACGCGAGGATATGCTGAAAGGGGTGAAGAAACGCTTGGAAGATCTGAAGTTGGTGTTGAAGCGGACCGATGATCAGCGCAATTGCATTTTGGCGGGCATAGCCAAACACCTGCCTATTTGGTCCATTAAAATAACTAAAATGAAGGCCATTTATCACACCCTGAACTACTTCAATATAGATGTAACAAGCAAATGTTTGATCGGCGAGTGCTGGGTGCCGACTATGGATCTAGAATTGGTGCAGCAAACAATCGCAAATGGCTCGGCCAATGTAGGCAGTACGGGCTCCTTTTTAACAGCTGTGGCGACAAAGAAGAGCCCACCCACTTACTTTCGTACCAATAAGTTCACACGGGGATTTCAAAACTTAATCGATGCATATGGCATGGCCACCTATCGGGAGGTTAATCCTGCTCTCTACACCTGCATTACTTTCCCTTTCCTCTTTGCGGTTATGTTTGGCGATTTGGGCCATGGTTTTATTATGTTCTTAATTGGCTTCTGGATGGTTATAGATGAAGAGCGACTGATGCGAAAGAAAGGCGGCGAAATTTGGCGAATCATGTTTGGTGGTCGTTATATCATTTTGCTCCTTGGTCTTTTCTCCATGTACACCGGATTCACTTACAACGACACCTTCTCAAAATCGTTCAATGTGTTCGGCTCTAAATGGCGCGTCCGTTATAATACTACCACCGTTCTGACCAATGCAAATCTGCAACTCGATCCCACTGTATCCACCATTGGCACCTACCCTTGGGGTATGGACCCGATTTGGCAGTTGGGGTCCAACAAGATCATCTTCTACAATTCGTACAAGATGAAACTTTCTATCATTTTTGGTGTTTTGCATATGGTTTTCGGTGTATGTATGTCTGTGGAGAATATGGTTTATTTCAAAAAGTACGCATACATCTTACTGGAATTCTTACCGCAAGTCCTTTTCCTTATCCTACTATTCGGTTATATGGGATTTATGATGTTCTATAAATGGGTCCAATACTCACCGACCACCGACTACGAACCTGATACACCGGGATGCGCGCCATCTGTTTTGATCTACTTCATTAATATGATTCTATTCAAGGCGTCCCCACAATTAGCCGGTTGTAAGATGTATATGTTTGACAGTCAAGCAATGGTGGAACGAGTTTTCTGGATTGTTGCTCTATTCTGTATCCCTTGGATGTTGATCGGGAAGCCATTGTACATCCAGTGTTTGCGTTCATTTGAGGTAAGCGGCATTCAAAAAAAAAAACCATTATAAATTTCAATTAAACCTTCTTTCCACCATGAATAGTCGAAGAAGAAAACAAAGGAGGAATACGTGGAAAAAATAGAAATTCAAGAGGGCGACATTGTTATTGAAGCAACGCTCACAGACCCAGTTCCACATGCTCATCACGAGAACGAAGACGATGAGGAGGAGGAGCCAATGAGTGAGATTTGGATTCACCAGGCCATTCACACGATTGAGTACGTCCTGAGTACTATTTCACACACAGCATCTTACTTGCGTTTATGGGCGCTATCCTTGGCACATGCGGGTGAGTGATATGAATCGGGTCAAGTGCATCTAACTAATACCAATGAACCCACAAACAGAGCTGTCTTATGTGCTGTGGCTTATGGTTATGCAGAAGGGTCTCCATTTCAAGGGTTACGCTGGTGCAATTGGCGTGTACATTATTTTTTTGGGCTTGGGCTTTGCTTACCATTGCCATCATGATATTTATGGAAGGACTTTCAGCTTTCTTGCATACACTGCGTTTGCATTGGTATTTCCAATGATTTGATATATTTTTATATGTACGATTCATGAAAAGAAATATTGCAGGGTCGAGTTCATGTCGAAGTTCTACGCTGGCACTGGTTACGCTTTCGAGCCATTCAACTTTAAGATGATCTTAGAAGCTAGCGACGAGGATTAAGTTTTGTGAAAAGATAACTTACAAATCTTATCTACATAAATGTAAAGTGCTCCATTGGTTGGTTTTCATTAGTGCATATTAAAAAATAAAAATAAATAAGATTTATGATGTTCTAATGAATAGTTTAAGAGAGCTGAACGTACGTTTAACAATAGGGGTATTCACCAAAATTGAGCAAGCGACCTGGCACTCTGGCCAAAGAGCAGTCAACAGTCGTTACTTGAGCTAATCTGCTCTTTTGCCACAGTGTCAGGTCACTTGCTCAATTTGGTCAATAAGAATGTGTCCAGAACTAAGGTTCAATTCGGCATTTAATCGTGGTTGCGCGTATTGGACATTTTCATCAATTATAGTTTAGAAATAAAAGAGCCTGATGTTTTGGCTTGATGCATTTCTGAACGCACCCTAACTATATGGTATTCGCGCAGTTACTAAAAACTTATTTCCAAATTTGCTCACAATTTATTAGGCAAACATTTTTAAAATTTATTAGTAATTGGAGACGTATATACTTGGTGAAAATTATCCTTTCCATATTTTTTTTTTGTGAGGTGAGATTTTGTGTGTCTGCCCAACAGCCGGTAATTGAATATTAAACTTGTTTGGTGTTTCTAATCTTGTAGTTTTTGTTTTTATATTTTGCTCTGTTGCTCTCTATTTCAGCGTGAATAACGCTGATTTGGACAATCTCATCCACTACTTCGATTCCTTCGACGCCTGTCTGCGCGAATTTAACTGTCGCTAACCTGACAGATGACTTCGCTCCGAGCTTCTACTCCCCTGGAGTCTTTTGACGGCAAATACAGTTTCATTTGTAGAGAAGTCCTTGGAGTTGTGCTGTCCGCACTCATCCCCCTCTCTGTGCCCTATATAGTTTTTCAGACATGAATATTTGGCATTTTAAATCCAAAATATGTATGTATAAACTACAGCCAGTTGACTAATCTGAGAGACAAATTTCCATTGTACAGAAAGAAATGTAGCCCAGCTGTAAAATTTTGTTGGCTAGTGTATTTATTAAAATACATACATATAAGTTTTGTATTCTTCAAGAATTTCCATGAACTTCCAAATGCGATTGCAATGTCAGCACCTATGTATGTATGTAAGTCTTTTTTCCAAAGCTAGAATTTTTCATGTCAGCAAAAGAGCTGCCACAAACGCCAACACCTGGCCTAGGCCGCATATTTTTTTGTGAATTCAACAAAAAGTAAATAAATAACTGAAAATCTTGAAAGTAAGCTGAATAAGTGCACTGTTTTAATGAGAATAGTTTATTTAGAAAGGTTAACTGAAAGTTTCACAATCAGTTGAAATTAAATCTTCAAAGTGCACGGGTAGCATTTCCAAGGAAAGATGTTGCTTCTAAGGTCCTCACTTTCGGTGGAGATCTCTTTCTTGATCGCGATTTTCGCTTTTTCTACATACGCGGACGTGTTTGTGCAAGTAAACCTGAATCGGCCATTCAATGATGTGAATGAGAAATTTGTTAGTTTTGCCGTGGAACCCGCCGATTTATATAGAGCGCTCGATGGACCAAATAGGTTAACATAACGAATGAAACACAAATTTATTTCATATAACGATATTATATTTGATTAACCCTTCATCACACAGGAAAGTGCTAACGCATATGGCTACGATGCTGGGAAGTTCTTATGTGAAGTTTATAAGCGATTACAATTTCATATCTAACACAGAAACGAATTATCGAAATCCTACAAAGACTATATGGAAAGGGTTCAACCGCTGGACGAGGTGAGTGCAAATCGGTTATGAAAAACAAAATCAAAGTATACTTCCCTTCGTAGTGCGGTAAACTGGACGATGGTCGTACCGATTCCACATAGTTCCGGTGAATGGGATCCTATGGAGTCCTTGAGAATTTTAAATAGTTCCTATTTAACAGGCATAACCGATTGCATTTGGCAATTGGGTACAGGTAAGAACGGAGGAAATGTTGAAGTCACACCGGACTATATAAATTGAGTAGCGGAAACCTTTGTAAGCAATTTTTTCTCCACAGAGTTTGGTCCGAGTATCAAAGACTACTTTAATGACTTGAACACTTTGAACTTGATGGTGGATACATTCAATCCTTATGTCGATGACTGGGAAGTTACCGGTGCTGAAATACCTTCGGGCAGCAGTAGCGAAGAAGTTAAGCGATATATTGAGATGTCGAGAGACATTAATGCCGCTTTTAATTGGCTGCAGTAAGTACTCTGAAACAGTTACATAAATGCCCATACTCATTTGTAATTGGCACTTGCAGACCAGCCGATTCTTCCACCACAAATACTATGATCGGCTCAGTCTATGAACACGATCGCACCCTGCGTGCCATGTTCAGCGAGAAGGTACCTGTTTGGCTAAATTTCGCCTCTAAGGATCGACCAAAAAAATCGACACAGAGAGGCACCACTGGTAGCAGCAGCAGCAGCAAAACCAATGCAGAGGATGTCACAGATGTGTTGCGCTGGGCGCAGACTCTCGGAGATGCGGCAACCTCTGGTTTCGACGCCGTTTTCCGCCGCATTGATCAAGATGACTTGGAACGGCCTGGTCCCAGCTTTTTCGTAACTATGCTATTCAAGAAAATTATGGGCTCACGCGTGTTCCCTGCCCGACCTTTTACCATATTCCTGCGCAGCAATAAATTATATACCCATTGTGCTAATACAATTTCGGGCGGTATAGCCTTCATGATTGTCAATCCTGATGATGATACCAAGCACGTGACCGTAAGTTCTTCCACAAAACTACCTGGTGAGGAGTACTGGCAGTATATCGTAACATTTAAAAAGAATCAGGCTTATTTGAACAACGAGAGACTGAACATGAACTCCACATTAACGCCTCAAGTCAAGACTAATAGTCCAAATAAAGCATTGCAATTGAGTGCACCCGGGAAATCCGTTGCGTTCTGGGTGCTACCGAATGCTGAGCTGGAGCACTGCCAGTTCACAGAGATCGATATTGACGAATTGGCGCGCGAATCGATGGAGGAGGAGGAAAAGGCGAGTAAACGCATTTCCTCGTCCGATAAGCTATTGCAGCAGCTAATACAGGACACGGCACTCGCTCACTCTGCTCCAACAAAATCCAACCACCGCAGGCGTCGCTATGCCACCTTTGCCAATCGCGGTGCCAGGCATGTTGTGCTGGATGACAATGGTGAACATTCCGAGACTTTGGCCAAACTTTTCGAACCGCTATCCCTGGAGGAAAAGACACCCAAAAAGAGAGAAGAAGTGTTAGAAGATAGACGGTCTGCTACACTCAAGTGGATTAAGGAGCTACTCGACACAGCACTGCAAGATCGCGAGGATTTGTTTTCACTAAAGCGAAATACTCGCAGCGTCGACGATTACTTTGGCGCCATCTTTGGTGCGAGAGGCGGCAAGAAGAAATCGGCTATAGTAAAGAAAATTACAGAAATACGCAAACCAGAAAAGAAATCCATTAAATCGTCATACGACCCAGAAAATTTCAATGAGGAAGAGTTTTTT